AGGTGAGTGGGGTAATATGGGTGGAAATGGTTAGTGAATTTAGGATAAGAGGTATTGGGTTAGTTTAAGTTAGTAATTATATTTTTAATTAAATTATATAAAAAATTAACTTACTTTCCTGAACTAATAGTTAAATACAAGATAAGTTAAATAGTTAGTTAAAAAATAAGAAACACTAGCTTATTTGTTAAATTTAAATTGAATTAAAACATATAAGTTTTTTTTTTTAGTTTTCAAATCTTTTAAAATAAACTTGCTAAAATATGATGAAACATAAAATATTTAAGCACTAAAAATGGTGTAAAACCTTAAGTTCGGTAAAAAATTATGTGTCTACAGCTTGCCTCTCTTTGACAGGAAACACAAAGTGTTTTTGGACAAAGAAGTAGACAAAGCTATAAATTTTGACCGAACTCTTATTTGAAAGAAAAAATCTGCAACCGAGTCCTTGATTTGGACATCCTACATATCACGAGTTATAAGGGAATTAGGTCACATGTAGTTCAAGGAGATGAGGTGATGGGTTTGAAGTTAAGTGAGGTTTCATCAAGGCTCCAAGTCGCGGTTCCTATCCTTACATAAAAATAATGAAAGCTAATAGTCAAAAGGAAAATAAAAGTACAAGCTCCTCTCTATGCTGCTTCTCTCGAGTCTTCACTTGAGTCTTAAATTTGATTTATCATCTTGATTTTGGTGAGTATCTTGATCTTGAATAAATTTGATGCTTAACTTGCCACTTAGAGCGAGTTTTTGGCACTCTTCAAAATGACAATTTGAAAATGCTCTTGCATGGCTGATGTTTTCTTGATTAGAAGCTGAAAAGAAATAGATGTCAGAAAGTCAGGCTGCTACATGCATTGAACAAGCTGATTCTAGCTATCATGAGATAGATCATTCTGAAAAGAGTTGAAACTTTGTTCTTGAATTTCAAATCTATGTTTCGCTTGAAGAAACCTGAAAACCATCACAAACAAAAGAAATAAACAAAAAAAATTCCCCAGTTTTCACTGGAAAATTTTTGTGAGTTATTAGTAGATGTGAATTTTTTTTAAAATAAACTCATACTAGGAAGTTCTTATCCTAGGAGAAAAAAAAAAGAACAGTCTAAGACTAGGAAGTGTTTATCCTATGAGAAAGGAATCAAATCCCATTATGTAGGAGGGTCCTGCTAATCCCATTGTCCAGGACGGTCCTACTAATCTAATTCTCATTGTTTAGGAAGGTCCTGCTATACTAATTCTCATTGTTTAGGAGGGTCATGTTACTCTAATTCTCATTGTTTAGGAGAAATCTCATTGTTTAGGAGTGTCATGCTACACTAATTCACATTGTTTAGGAGGGTCCTGCTACTCTAATTCTTATTGTTTAGGAGGGTCCTGCTACACTAATTTCCATTGTTTAGGAAGGTCCTTCTACTCTAATTCTCATTGTTTAGGAGGGTCTTGCTACTCTAATTCCCATTGTTTAGGAGGGTCCTGCTACACTAATTCACATTGTTTAGGAGGGTCCTGCTACACTAATTCCCATTGTTTAGGAGGGTCCTGCTGCACTAATTCCCATTGTTTAGGAGGGTCCTGCTACACTAATTCCCATTGTTTAGGAGGGTCCTGCTACTCTAGTTCCCATTGTTTAGGAGGGTCCTGCTACCCTAATTCCCATTGTTTAGGAGGGTCCTGCTACACTAATTCTCATTGTTTAGGAGGGTCCTGCTACTCTAGTTCCCATTGTTTAGGAAGGTCCTGCTACTCTAGTTCCCATTGTTTAGGAGGGTCCTGCTACTTTAGTTCCCATTATCAGGAGGGTGCAGCTAGACTAATTCTCATTGTTTAGGAGGGTCCTGCTACACTAATTCTCATTGTTTAGGAGGGTCCTGCTAAACTAAATCATCAAATACGATTACCATAACATTTTTTTTAAAAAAAAAATAGTTTTTTAAATTTTTTTAGATTAGAAAATGTTTATCCTAAAAGAAAAAATGAAAAATAACTGCCTCAAACTAGAAAGTGTTTATTCTAGGATAGAGAAAATAAATAAATAAATAAAATAATAATACTAATAACGGTCTAGGACCAGGAAGTGTTTATCCTAGGAGAAAAAATGCATGTAATTTTTTTATTTTATTTTTTGCAATAATGTTCACAAATTTGAGTCTTCAATTTTTTTTATTTTTTTTAATGACAGTTTATTTGTGGCATTGGCTTTGAGGTAGTTTCTCCTATTGTTGCTATGTTTGAAGCTAATTTTAACTTTGAGATAAACTGCTTTCGTTTGCTAGGCAGCTCACCTTAATAATCTTAAAAACATCTCTAGTTGTTCAGAACTTCCAACATCATACTTGTTATATTGTTTCCACCCTCCAACAATCATTGAATCTTGTATTCATATAAATTCTCAAAATTTGTCAATTATTGGCAAGTTACTATTTATATCAATATTTCTTGAATCATGTCACATTTGAGGTGCTGACCAAACTTTGCTTTGTACGATTGAAACAATGGTAGCAATTTTGAAATCATTGTCTGCTTGCTTTAATGAAGACTAACCCAAGGGAAAAAATGAAACCGAATTGAGTGATACAAAATAAGAAGAATGAAAGTAAAAAATAAAAATTGACCCTTTAAGAGAAAAAAAATGAAAATAAAAAGAGACTCATTTGAGAGTGATGGTCAATTCTAATGATCATGACATGCATGTGAGATTAAATGACTTGATTTGTCCAATCAATTTAAACTTTATCTTTGTCAAACTTTCAACCTTCTGAAGTTAGACTTTTATAATCCAACTTTTGCACTAGATTCATACCTCACATTCGACTTGTGGTGCCTCGAAAGGTTTTTCACCAATAACCTCTCTCATTTTGTATGTCTCTCACTCACATCGTCTTATAGTGCCCTAAGGGTTTTCACCAATAAGTCTCTCATTTTTCACTTACTCTCAACACAAATGATGCCTTATAGTGCTTTCGAGAATTTTCATCGATAGGATTCCCTCATTTTTCGCTCCTTATGCGAGGGACATGACATTTTTCCTTATATGATAATCAACACTGAAAGCTTGCTTGTCTTGTCATTGTTAAAAATTGATCAAAAGGTCTTTATTTGGATTGTAATATGGCTTTTGGACAGGGTTACAAAGAAAGGGTGAAAGCTCAAATATAATACTTATAAGACGGTTAAGACTTACGACTTTTGGAATCGACTCTATTTTGTAAAAATAAACAAATAAACAAATAAAATAATAATAAATTTATTATTATTATTATTATTACTATTTTTGCCCCAGTTTTTGTGATGAGGATCTTATAGATTTTTTTTTGGTTGGACCAAATCACAGAATAAGGCTGCCTACGTATCTTGTCAAATCAAGAACCAGGTTGAACATAGTTCAGGAAGCTTGTTCTTTTGTTGTTATTGATTTTTTCAACCTTTTTCTTTCACTTTTTTTCCTTGACTCTTTTTTGTGACTTCTATTTTTTATTTTTTTGAAGTTGTGACTCTTTTTTCTTTTTTTGAATTTGTGACACTTTTTTTTTTTACTGTATTTTGATTCCAAAAGAGAGGTATGAAAGAGAATAAATTTAAGGCTTAAAAGGAGTAGCAAAGGATTACACAGTGTTTGGATAGTAGAATGAAATGCCTTTGTCATATCAATTATTAATAATGACAAATACAAGCATGCCATTTAAGATGTGAAGTGAAAATCATACATTATCTCTTTGCAACGTATGCATTGATGGATATGTATATCAGCTTGAAATCTCCATTTGAGTAATATCTTCTTGACATAAAATGACATACGTTAATTTAAACGAAATTTAGTCTTTTAACCATTTTCGATACTAAAGGACGTATCAAGGTGTTTAAGTCATTTATTCATTTCTTCAAATGTATTTATTTTTTTGACTTCTATGGTGTATTCATTTCATGGATAGATATAATCTTAAGATCTTACCAAATCGACTTGCATATCATGTCACAAAAATTGAATTGAAAAGAGATGTATGTGGAAAGCCAAATAGAATGGGTCACTTTGACAAAAAGTAAAGATTATATTAAGATAAAAAAAAACTCGATGACAAGACAACAAACTAAATTTTAGGTTACAACTCTATAATAACTCAAACTACGACAAGACTTAACAAACAAACACATAAGAGAAATGATAGAAAGGTCTGACTTAATAAAATAAAATAAAAAAAGAATTGCATAGCAGTAATGATGACAAAATAAACTATCCATACACTCTTTTTTGAGAGAAAAGAAGAGTGTATCCCAATCACCAAGCTTGACTTATTAGCCACTACTTTGCACGCTAGCCTTCATGAAAGCTCCAACAATTTCAAGTGTCTTTTCCTGAGAATTGAGAGAATTGTCATATTCTTAGTCATCACATATCATTTCGATGAAGTGTACATCATTATGCGTGAGTAGAGGATTCTTAGTAACATTGGGGGGGGGGGGGTTATCATTTTGAACCACAATCATGTTTGTTTGAATCATCTCTTCCACTTTTCTTCTTAAATTTCGACAATCTTCAGTATTGTGCCCTGGAGCATCAGAATGGTATGCACACCATATTGTTGGATTGAAACCTTTTGCATGTGGATTAAGATAATTTTGAGGTATTGACTCTATCATATTCAAATGTTTCAATTTCTCAAATACACTTGTGTAAGACTCTCCAATTGGTGTGAAATTGTTCATAGGTCTTTGACCTCCTTCAAATACCTGTCTTGGACGGGGATTATAAGGTGCTCGAAAATTTTGAGAAGAAGGACGAATATTTTGATTTGTTGGCGCTCTCCATTGAGGATAGTTTGGTGGATATGCATATGGTTGTGCACCATAGACTGCATGCTGAGGTGGGACAATAGAGTATTGTGTATCTTGCATGGGGAGATACTGATGAAATTGAGGTGGTGCATATTGATAAAGTGGACCCCTTGGACTTTTTTGTGTGTCTGACATAACATTTGCTACATCCTCCTTCATTTTCTTTCCTCAAAGATTTCCTGATCCATTTTTAATCACCTGTGTTGTGGCTTTCAAGGTAGCTTGACTTACAATTTTTCCAGACTTGATGTCATTCTCCACCATTTTACCAATCTTAATAACTTCAGCGAATGTTTTTCTAACAACGAAAAGTAAATAATGAAAGTAGTCTGGTTCTTGCGCTTGAAGAAAAACATCAATCATTTCAAACTTTTTCATTGGCGGCTTAACCCAAGCAACTTGCTCCCTCCACCTAATAGCATATTCACGAAAATTTTCGGTGGTCTTCTTTCTCATGTTGACAAGTGAAGTACGATCTGGAACTATGAAAATGTTATATTGAAATTGTTGAACAAAGCATCGAGCCAAATCATCCCATGTATGCCAGTTAGAAGTACCTTGATCTATGAACCATTCTGAGGCAATTGCCATCAAACTTTCCCCAAAATAAGCCATGAGCAATTCTTCTTTGCTTTCAGCTCCTTTCAGTTCATTACAATATCTCTTTAAATGAGCTACAGGATCTCCATGTTCATCATATTTTTTGAACTTTGGATTTTTAAAATTGATGGGTAGATGAACGTGGGAAAACATGCACAAATCATTGAATGAAACACTTTTGTGACCTCCAATCCTTGCATATCTCTTACACTCTGTTCCAAACTCTTCATTTTTCTAGCCATTTCTTCATGTTCCTCGTTCTTAATAGCTTTTTCAGCCTCAACATGAGAATTATACTGATGAGTGTGAGGGTAAGAGCTTGGAATTTTAAAAGTCAATTCAGGAGTATAATTTCGATCATATTGAACTTTGGGTGGAGGATCGTTGTTGGATTCTTTCTCCATTATAGGTTGTTGAACGACATTAGTCAGCGCAGTTGGAATGAATAGTGGATTACTTGTCATAGGCATACTCAAAGGGCGCACCGTAGAAGTTCCATCTACGTTGGATGCGTTAGCATAGGGACCGAATCCAGGTGGATAAATTGGATCACTTATCGATACTTGGACTGGGGGTGACATATTTGTATTTAGATAGTCACAGATTGAAGGCGGTGGAGCTTGTCCACTCATCCAAGCTTCGTACATCTCTGTCATTTGCTGTCTTAGTATCCTTATCTCTTCGGCTGACACTGTTTCTTGTGACATCATCTGGTTCTGGACCTCATCATTGTCCGACTCATTTCCGTCTTTGTGAGTCATTTTCTTTTTCCCTTTTGACCTTGTATTGTAGGGATGTGATGCCAGCTTAACTACAAATCAACCACCTTAATTTAACTGTGCAAGGATAATAATGCTTGTTAGGGTTAGACATTCGTCAGTTATAAGTTAGTTTTTTTAAAATGATTTAATAATGCATTGATCAAATCCGTTTGAGATTGCGTACGTAACACGCTTGCGAACATGACTAAGATCTTTGCATATTTTTTCAAAAACTCAATAACTAAGCTTTTTTTTAGAGCTTTGAGATAAAATCTTTAGTTTTTTTTATTTGAATTATTAAAAGAAAATTAATAAAAACTTGTTTTTGATAAAGATAAAGCTTCTTGTTTTTCATTTTTAAATTTTTTTTTGAATAAAGATCACCGAACCCAAAGAGGGTTACCTACGTATCTCATTGAGGTGAGAATCAGGTGTGTGTAGTTCGTCCAGATTAGACAGAAAAAAAAATAACTTTGAAATATTAAAAACTTTTTTCTGATAAAAATGCAATTTTTAAAGTATTATGAACGTAAAATATTTTGATTTTTTTATTAACTGTACAAAAGGGAATTTAATTAATTTTTTCTTTTTTTTTTGTAATTTTGATTAAATAGTGAAAAATCTTTCATTTTATTTTCTAGAAAGGTATAATATCTTCTAAAAGAAGAAATATTATTTTTTTTTTTGTAAATTTTCTTCACAAGTCACACTAAAATGAGTCAACTTATAAATATTTTCTAAATAAATGCATTTGCATGTAGCACATAAAATGATCTAAGTGGTCAAGTAAGAAAGGGATACATGCCATAGACAGACTCAATTCTTGTTCAAGTCTACTAAGTAAAATGCAAATGATGCAAATAAGCGGAGCCTACTAAGGATAACCATGTATGTATATTAGGTTTAATAGGTCTAAACCTAAAGAGATTAGTTTCTAGACCAGTTTACCCGAGTGGACAACTCAGGCTAGGGAGGGGCAACTTATTGGTAGCAGCGCTATTCCAACTTCATTGCTGGTCCAACCCTGCCTAACATTTGTGACTAAAATCCCTCACTGAGTGCCTAGACGCTCCAGTTTTATCTCAAAAGAAAGTGGGATGCATAACTACATTACCTACTACCCTATTTTTAGACACTCAAATGGTGAGCGAGAAAACAATTATATACAATTCAAGAATATAAAAGCGATAAATGAGCAGCAAGTAACACATTAGGTCATCAAAACAGTATATCCAATGAAATAATATAATAAAATCAAGTAAAAGTCAATAGACAAAACTTGAATTATGGTTAATCCCCAGCGGAGTCGCAAGAGATGTCACACCCCTTATCGCGCACGGCGGCAAGGTTTTTTTCCAATTTAAGTGACAATATTGATTAAGGGATTATTTTGTTTTTTCGGAGTCACCACTTGGAATTAAGTTGTGGTGTTCCAAGTCACTTTTTTGAATCCCTAATCAATAGGAAATGACTATTTAGTTTTGGTATGCGAACCAAAAATTCAGGTAAGGAATTCTGTTGACTGAGGGGAAGGTATTAGGCATCCCTCGTGTCCCGTGGTTCTAGCACGGTTGCTTTTATTGACTTACTTATTTTTACTACTTTTGGATATATTGTGTCTACATGCTATGGTTTACTTATTTTTTATTATTATATTTTATTTGTTAAAATTTTTTATTAGTCTGAACCTAGATGCGTAACCGCATTCTTGGTCTGGACATTTAGAGGCATAACTGCCTTCTCCTCTCGAGTACATCACACCTAATAATTTTTATTTACACCTCTTGGTTTAAATTAATGAAAGTTAATTATTAAAATAATTTGGTCAAGGTGCATAACCGCATCCTTGAATTTGGCCAAGGTGCGTAACCGCATCCTTGAGTTTCTTAAGTATCTCAAAAAGATGTGGAACCACATTCTTAACTAAGAGAAATTTAATTGCGTTTGTACTCGTCCAATATATAATAGATCATAAGATATACCTATTGTTATGTTAAAACAGTCTAAAAGTAAATGGCAACGTCAAAATGTTAAAGTAACCTAATCACCTTTTCTATATTTCACTTATTACCTTCCCCTATATAAAATATTACATTTAATTAATTAAATCTCATCTTATTAACATAATAATATTTCCAATCTCTAACAAAACAAAGCATTCTTATTCGAGATATGTTTTTATAGTCTAATTATAAATAATATTTTTTTAATGAATGATAGGAAAATAATTAACAAATTAAGGTCATGCTTCAATTAATTATTAATGATACGTGTTGATATATCTTAATAACAAAACAAACTATCTAAAAATAACACTTTTTGTTTCTGTAAGTTAGTAAACCCAAATCTAATATCCTCATTAATGAACCCGTAAAATTGTTCTTTAGAGAAAAATAAAATTAAAAAAAACCATCTTTAGTATTTATGCTAAATTTAAACTAGCATTAGATCTATGACCTATATAATACCAAGATTGTAAAACACTTTAAATGATAAGATTAAATCGTATAAAAAAATGCATTTTTTGGTTAACAAACAATGATTTACTTAGTCCGTTTTTAAAGTATGATATCAACGAATAACTTAAAACTATGTGAAAATTAATTTACAACAATCCACGAGTCACGTTTCGGCTCGATAAAATAAAGCTATAAAGACAAATATTGATTCCTTGGTGAGCAAGAAGCAATTATACGTTATATCATATTTTAATCCAAATTCAACACTACAAATATTTACACGTATTTAAATATTATAATGGCAAAGCTAAACACACATGAAATTTGAATAAAATCCTGACACCGGAATTAAGTACTATATAATCATGAAAATCAAATTATAAAATAAATAAAATAGTACCTCTTGCAAAAATCAACTCACGAAAGGAAAGCAATTCTAACTGGGAACCACAATCTCGAAACCACGAAAGCAAACCTCGAACTCAACCTTTGTTTGTGAGTAAAAGAAATATGTATAATAAAAGGACGAATACATATATTGTGTGCGCGTGCCGACGTAAGTCTATTGCTGAAAAAATCTTTTTCTTATGTTTTCCTGGTGGTCTGCGTGTGTGTGTAGTATTCTGTAGGTTTGTGTATTATTTCTTTGGTATGTTGTGCGTATTTGGGTGTATTGTAGTAGTATTTTTTTTCTTCCGTCCCTCTGTAATATGTGTGCAGGTCTCCGTATATAGTATAATAGGGGTGTGTATATATGTAGTGTTCTGTGTAGTAGTACGTGTAGTTGGTGTAAGTGGGGGTAATGTGAGGTGAGTGGGGTAATATGGGTTGAAATGGGTTGTGAATTTAGGATAAGAGGTATTGAGTTAGTTTAAGTTAGTAATTGTTTTTTTAATTAAATTATATAAAAAATTAACTTAATTAAATACAAGATAAGTTAAATAGTTAATTAAAAAATAAGAAACACTAGCTTATTTGTTAAATTTAAATTGAATTAAAACATATAGTTTTTTTTAGTTTTAAAATCTTTTAAAATAAACTAACTAAAGTATGATGAAACATAATGTATTTAATTTAAATATTTAAACAAAATATTTAAGCACTAAAAATGGTGTAAAACCTTAAGTTCGGTAAAAAATTACGTGTCTACAAAGGTGATTCTTATGCCTTCAATGTAAAGAAATTGGGTTCATTTAAATACAGAGCCAACAATAAATTTCACCTTCAATGTTACTGTCTATTTGATTTAAGAACTTCAAATACAGAGACTAATAATTGAAATCACATGTTCAACCAACAAAAATCAAGTTTTGAACTAGTCTCAATTCATAGATGAAAAAAGATATAAAACTTACCTGGAGACGAGGAAGACAAATGAGCAGCGACAATCGATAGCAGCAAGCGCGATGCCAGCAGTGGACGCTCCAGGCAACCTTTTGATCTCTCTCGCGTCTCAACTCTCAATCTCAATCTCTCTCACTTCTCAACTCTCAATCTATCAGTAGAACCTTTAATTAAAAACCCTAGACCCCCAATGTTGGGAATATGTTCACTCATTACGAACAAGAAGAAGGAGAAGGTTATAGAAATCACAACAGTTAATCGCTATATTAAACTTTCAATCACAGCTTTCTATTTGTTCACTGATGGAATAGTTCTAGTAGTTTCCAATTGCCATGTGTATACAACAGCTATTTTATTATTATTTTTCTTTGTAGAAGTTTGTTAAGATAATTAAGAGTTAGTCAAAAACATAGTGACAAGTGTATAAATAGCAGTGGTAGAAGAATTTATTTACGATGTATAAATACATGTACATATCATCAATGAAAACACAAAGAAAATTTTCCCATTTTCGTTTGCAATTTCTTTATCCAACATGGTAACAGAGCTTTGATAGAGAGGTTTAAATTTGTTTTCTCATCCAATTTTTCTTCTTCTTTCTTCTTCCTAGGATCATGCCTGACACACCACCTCCTTCTTCTGTTACTCCTGCTGTTGCAGCTCAAGAGGACAAGAGCCTATTGATCACTCTCACACTTTTTACCTTCATCCCTCAGATTCACCAGGTATGCAACTGGTGAATTCTGTTTTCAATGGTAAAGGGTATGGGGGATGGAGAAGAGGAATCCTAATAGCCTTGTCTACTAAAAACAAGGTAGGGTTTATTGATGGCTCCATTTTCCCCCCTCATACTTCTCTAGGACTGCTCAATGTTTGGACTCGATGCAATGATATGGTGATCTCTTGGATCTTAAATTCTCTTTCAAAAGACATTGCTGAGAATGTCCTCTACTCAAGCACTGCTAGAGAGATCTGGAAGGACCTTGAAAAGAGGTTTGGACAGAGTAATGGACCTCAACTGTATCAGCTAAAAAAACAAATTAATGAATCAGTGCAAGGAAATCTTGATGTAGTTGGTTATCATACAAAGATTAAGCATCTCTGGGATGAGCTAGACAGTTTAGACATGGCACAACACTGTAATTGTGCATGTGTTTGTGGTGGTAAGCTGAAGAACGTCAAGTCTTAACAATATAA